ATTGATGTATGGTTACGCTTGCATTGTTATACAAATACCAAGTCATGTAACACCTATGAAAGGAATGATAATTGCTTTAGACGTGTGATTCCCAGATGTTAATTCTGGGAATCAGGTTAGATGAGCATTACCCTGGGGAACACGCAGTGACAAGACCAAAGGACTTTAGTGAACAATCTCTGCAGTGAGTGTAGAAGATCATGAATATCAAAGAATATTTAAGCCAAATTGCAACATGTTCATTGTGTTTGATAACTTTATCCACGTGGACAAGGTGCAAACTGGTCTCAACAACAAGATTAGGGGGAGATATGTTGTCAAAACCTCTACAACCAATATCATGCAAAATGTAGCACAGAAATCACACAAACCCAACAAGGACTTTAGTGAACAATCTCTGCAGTGAGTGTAGAAGATCATGAATAACAAAGAATCATTAAGCCAAATTGCAACATGTTCATTGTGATTGATATATTTATCCAGGTGGACAAGGTGCATACTGGTCTTAACAACATGAGTAGGGGGATATTTGTTGTCAAACCCTCTACAACCAATATCATGCAAAATGTAGCACAGAAATCACACAAACACAATGATGATGATGAGATTTGGGCAAATGCTCCTTTGTTAAACATGCTTTGTCACATGCTGGACATTTTCCATTAATGACTTTTTTCCATATCTCTCCATCTTCACATTGCAAAAGCTAGGTGATTCTCAAAATGTGTACTTTTTTATGCCGCCCAGGTACAAATATTACACAAACACAATGATGATGATGAGATTTGGGCAAATGCTCCTTGGTTAAACATGCTTTGTCACATGCTGGACATTTTCCATTAATGACTTTTTTCCATATCTCTCCATCTTCACATTGTAAAAGCTAGGTGATTCTCAAAATGTGTACTTTTTTATGCCGCCCAGGTACAAATATTACACAAACACAATGATGATGATGAGATTTGGGCAAATGCTCCTTTGTTAAACATGCTTTGTCACATGCTGGACATTTTCCATTATTGACTTTTTTCCATATCTCTCCATCTTCACATTGTAAAAGCTAGGTGATTCTCAAAATGTGTACTTTTTTATGCCGCCCAGGTACAAAAATCACACAAACACAATGATGATGATGTGATTGGGGCAAATGCTCTTTTGTTAAACATGCTTTGTCACATGCTGGACATTTTCCATTGATGACTTTTCTCCATATCTCTCCATCTTCACATTGTAAAAGCTAGGTGATTCTCAAAATGTGTACTTTTTTATGCCGCCCAGGTACAAAAATCACACAAACACAATGATGATGATGTGATTGGGGCAAATGCTCTTTTGTTAAACATGCTTTGTCACATGCTGGACATTTTCCATTGATGACTTTTCTCCATAGCTCTCCAACTTCACATTGTAAATGCAATGTTAAATTAAAACTGGCCTACAATTCTTGGTCAGATTACACGTGTAAGTTACCGAAAAAGACGATATTACACGTGCATTTCACATAGTGATATCCAACTCTCAGCAATTCCAGTTGAGTGAGGTGTCCATCCACAAACCTCACTCAACTGGAATTCCCAATTTAAGACCGCCGGTTATCTCAGAAATCACCGTTCTCAGACTTCAGCGCTACGCCAGTGCCATCATGCCAAAATTTGAAGGCCGACACCAACCTTTCCGTCCCCAAAGACCATACTGGGCTCAGACGGGAAAAACCGATCTACAGAAAAAACATTTTGAAAAGATGAAAAAGGCGGTCATCACGCGGAACCAGCAGGCGGCTTCAACATCCAACATTAATCGTGAACCTGGTAATGATCTGGAGGGCAACCATCTATACGGACCTATGGTTGATCAGCAAGACGAAGAACCGCATGACAATGACCGACCTGAGTTCATTGACGAAATTATTGAAGAACGACTGGAAAAAGAAAGACAAGCGCGAGATCTTCGACTGGCCCAGGCAGCCAAAGAAATGTTTGGTGCTTATCTTGCCTGTGCTTTGAAGACGAATGATTGGGGAAATCCGGCGACGTGGGACTTTGATCACAAGCCGATATGCCAATGTCAGGGCGGTCTATTGCGCGACAGAGAGGTTGATTTGGTTGACATATTTGGTAAGTATATCCAGACCTCCAAATGATCCATTTCAGCTCAGCAAAGTAATGATTCTTGTTCATTAATGAAGCCCGTTGTAAGGCTCGCATCCGGTTTTGTGGATGTCAGGAAAACGATCAGACTCGGCTCATTCTCATGGGATACATCGGTGGTTCCCCTATATATCCTCAGACCGCCTTCTCCATCCGCCTTTTGAGGTTCTACCATATATTATGGAAGTTCTGTACTATCCGAATCGGCCCATTTGTTCGCGCCCTTGACAAATTCCTGGATGCGTTCAGTGCCCTGATTCTTACTAAGAATCAACAGGTAAGATCAATGACTCGATTGGTATGGAAGGTGGCAAGCTAACATGCTGTTAATGTAGCCTCGCAGATGGCACACCCCGATGTACTGGGCGGTTGATGCCTATCGTGAAATGCTCACCATGACCAAATCTGTCTTGGATGCAGCACTCAACCTCACGCCTCTGGACAAGGTCGCCGTCAATTGTCCACGCTGTTTTGGCCCACCTCTCCAGGATGAGGACGAGGGGGATCCATTGGAACCCGACATAGTGGTCTGTATGGATGGAAACTTTCAGCATCGCCGTCATAAAGCGGCCGGGACCAAATCTGCAAAAAAACCTACCAAGATGCCTCCCCTTTTCCTTCCGGATGATAAAGTCAACCAGATGTGTGCACGACTGGCAGGAGTACCTGAAAATGACTTTGTAAGTCGCTTTTGTGGCCACTAAGGGTTAAACTACAGGTAGCTGACATGGCCTTTACTTGAAACTCGTGTGTAGCAAGCTTGCGCCGTTCAACATACGGCAGCCAACAATACTCGTGGTAAAGGTCATTGGGGAGGCTGTGATGAAACTGGCCTTATGGGGATGGTATGCCGTCATGACCATTCTCTGCGATTCGCTGATATTGTGCAAAGCGGTGAGAAGTGAGTCGTCCTAATCAATTTTGAATGATTCTATGGATCTTAAAGAATAGGTCGCCGTTCCAAACCAATCTTTCAGGCTTCACTACAGCTACTCTTTGATCGAGTGGATTCTAAACTTGACGCGCAATCATGGAGAGATACCTAGAAGAATAGGTATCTTGTACGACATTGGCTGTACAATGCAAGCCGGAATCGAAAAAGTGAGTGTTTGGTTCTACCTTTCAGATTGTTTTACTGAGGTCAATGTCTGTAATGTTTGAAGCGTGGAATGTTTGAAGAGGATCGGCTAGGTGGTCGAATCCGATTTGGCACAAGCGTATTCCACGCGTATGTGCATAGGTGGTCTTGCCAGCTGCGCTGGAATCCTAGGCTCAACGTAGGATGGGGCCTCTCAGATGGCGAAGGAAGTGAGAGGGTGTGGTCCGGCCTCAGTCCTCTTGTGGCCCCACTGAGATATGCGACCCCACAACACCGGGTCAATGCGATAGATTTTCGGTCATCACATGCTAATGCTCAGCTTCGGCATGAAGCCGGTACGTTGGTTATCCAATTGTTATTATTATCAACTTATCCGAAATATGCAACTTAATGACAGAGATTGTCTTATTAAAGTGAAACATCTGCGGCGAAAGAAGACAGAGGCCAGGAAGCGCCTTGAGGAAGCCGAAGCTACACTCAGGACGCTATCATTACCAGGTGATGGGTGCCCTGGCCGCGACGCGGCCTATTTTTTGGGCCAGTGGATGGCCCAACGAGCTCGTCAGCTGGACGTCATTGAGGAAACTAATAAGGAGAAACGGGATAAGATCAGCGTTTTACTGACGTTGGAGGAAGGACTTCACATTGCTCTGTAAGTTGGGCTTTGCCAGTTATTACAATAATTTCTGCTTATATTTATGAAATAATGTCACGAAGCGCCCAACTAGAGACATTGCAAAAGAAACGAAGACAAGCACGAACTCAAGGTGAGCGCAATGAGCTGCTAGCTCTCCCAGGAACGGTAGTTAATTTCGAAGAACGCATCGAAATAATTGCAAACGAACTTGGGGGAAATGAATATTGAGATATGTTGGGTGTCAATTGTACGTCGTGCTTGTGGGCTATTATCAGTGTAACTTAGGATGATGAGATGTTGATTGCGGTTTTGATTGGCAGCCCAACAAACCACTGCGATCCTAGCAATATCTGTTGCACGGGCAAAGATGTATGAAGCTAGAGTTGGCGTGATCGAAGCGCGACTACGACGGCATCGCAACACAGGTGGGTGATTGATATGATCTATAGGATCATAAAATTTCACACTGATACCTGTTACTCTTTTCGTACAATCCAGGTACCAGACAGCAACAGCACATGGTGAAGGTTTGCAGCAATCGAGCAAAAGACCTCCGCAATAAGTACAACACGTATAGTCGTCGGGTTCAAAAATACCATACCAATTACCGCACACGTCCACGCGTGGAGCTGCCGGACTTTGAAACAGTTGAGGCCATGGATGTTGATGATCCATTTTGGAATCGAGGAGAGAATGAAGTAGAACCGGGGAATGAGCCGGAAGCAGAGCGAAACAGGCGAGGTATCGATGCCTACTTGGCCCGGAGGGGAGCTCTAGAGGAGCTGCGTCGAATTGCGCGTGAAAGTCGCCATATGATGGGGTGGGCAATAGAGTATCACCGCCGCATCAAGTCATTGAAGAGTGCTTTAGAACAAGGAATTACACCCTTTATATCAGAATCGGTTGTGATTGATGACTACTTTAATCACTGATACCTTGGATCTTTGCAGTGGAAGATTCCACAGAAAAGACTAGGTTGTCAGCGCTTTACAAGATTGTAGCTGAAAGGACCTGCAAGTTGTGGAAGAACTGGGGGGAATTGAATGATGAGGTGGTAGATACTCGCCAGTATCTACCAGGCTGCATTGATTTAGCACTGCAACATGGGTGGAGAACGGTTTTCGCCTGGGTAAATGAAGAGTGGTTAAAATTGAAGCGCCCAGTTGTAGCCGAGGAGCCGGACCCCTATGAGTATGAGGAAGACAATTTTTACAATCAACGGTATGACATGAATGGAAATGAGATATTAAGAGATTAGGAACATCTCCGAAGTTGAAATATTTTACGAAAAGTGTCATTTGACTTCTCATGAATCATGTATAAGTTTCAATCGCAGAATATTTATTCACTTGTTGTATTGTAACATTGTAAATGAAAATTCCTTCGATTTTTTTTGCATTGTGTGTTTTTCAAATGATGATATCACCTTCATCGATGGATGATTGATTTTTACGATGATGTAGAAATCCACAGAGCTAGGTTTTGCATTACAATTTTTACAAGGGGGAAATGTGACGGGCAAATTACAACATTCATGAGATACATACTATACAAGTGAGCTAATCTGAATCTGAAATTTCCAAAGGTTCATGGGGCTCATACAACCATGGGTATTCTGCGACAAACAAGGGGCGGATGCATTGGGTATACCTCATGAATTGAGTATCATACCTAGAATCCCATTCGGCCGCGTCCAACGAGGCAAGTTCGTACCATTCTTGCCATGGTTTAGGAATAGGGACAGACTGAGAGGAGATGAGAGAGAGGGACAAGAAATGAGAACCTTCGTGATCGTAACAGAGAAAAATGGGAGGAGTTTGAGTCGGTCGACCATACAGAGGCAGTGCTGAAAAATTAGAATTATTGCCTTTACTGTATACACAGAAAAGCCGCTGATATGTGGTGGCGATTATATATAACATCTGAGCGGAATCGAGCCAGAGTTTAGGGGTGTCCAACACCTTTTCCCTTTGTGTTCTGATGACGGAAATGTGCTCAGCTACCCCACCATCCCCACGCTTTCGCGCTTGGAAATGTGACTCATAGAAATCAATTTTTGACTCAAGCTCAGTGATCAGTTCTTCGCGTACCAACGTCCATTCATCTTCAGCTCGCCCTAGACTTATGGCAATTGCACGGTATCCACAGTGGCCATCACCAAGTGGGTCAGACACCGACTGTACGTATTCAAGCAGCCAATGAGGCACACGATTGTCCTGGATGATTTCCTAGATGATTGAAAAGTCGCATCAAAAATCTTCTTGAGGTAATACAGGAAGCTTGACATGGGACACGTACACACATTTTTAGAGGGGTGGTTACGTGTGGAACGTCGAGCACCATTGATTGAGACGGGTTGGACCTCTTGGTGCCTAGTGGACCTTCGAAGGTTCTCTTTAACCAAAGTGGACGCGGTTAAAGTATGCGGTCTTGGCTTCTTCTTGTTCTGAGTGAATGATGTGAGTGCCAATGTTTGTAAGCCACCACCAGCGGTAATCACGATGGAAATTCAAGAATCAATCCAAAGTAGACTTACTTTTGACGGTGGTTGTGGTGCTGGTCCCGCGGAAATTGGAATTTTTCCATCTTGTGTTACTTCATTGTTGTGAGGGACGTGTGAAGCACATGGTAACAAAGCCTCGATTTGAAAGCTTCCATCCCCTTCATCCCCTTCATCTCCATTAACTGGTGTGGGTGATCGCTGCGGTACAATGTCTGGCGAAATATTATGTAGAGTCGACTGTATATTGTTGACTCTACATAAGAGCTGATGAGGATCTTTGGTTAGAAGTCGAATGAACATGGCTAAATGGATGGGACTCATAGCTCACCTCGTGCGATGAGTTCGCTTTGGGCGATGAGTTTGTTGGATAGAGGGTAGGCGAAGGCTAGGCAGAGAGATGAGGAAGAATGTGATTGATTTAGTCCATGAGTTGATAAGCGGAAACCTCAACTTTGGTAGCATTTGGTGGAGACTACTTACCAAACTGTCTTCTACAGGCTCGGAATCATAATCTACAGGCTCAGAATCATAATCGACCAATCGTTCTTGGTGATGCGAGCAGTCTTTTGGTGCCTTCGGGATTCCTATTTCAATTGTAGGATTTGACACAGATAGTACTCGATGTGGAGGTGACGCGATGGTGATTGACATTGGTTTGACTGGTTGTGATGGGGGTTCAAGGTAACAAGTCCTGGTAGATCGCATATCTGGGGCCTCAGGCGTAAGTGTAGCAGGTGGTGATGATCGAGCCTGAGGTTGAGATGTAGGGGAGGGCTCGGAGAGGTCAGTTACGCTGTTAATTGTTGAAACTGGCTTCGGAGGGTGAGCAGGCAAGGTGGGTGCCTTGTGTTTTGGGGTGCGCTTTCATTTCTTCTTCATAGCACAGTCTGTGGCGAGAGAAAGATCTGTGTTCTATAGAATAACATATAGGATATAGGATAAGATCAGGTTGATCACACTAGATATATAGGAAGTGCTTACGGCTTTTGGTGATGTGTTGTGAGCGTGCGAGGATTGTATGGCCACGTTGGGTGGTAATTTTTCACTGACAACAGTATCGAATGTTTGATTGAGCGTATGAGGTGGAAAGGGTGTATGATACTTGGCTATGACTTGTTCAATCTCGGCAAGAGCTTGGAGACGATGTGCATTTGAAAGCTGCGACAGCTTGTTCAATATCTGGAGGAGGAGGGTCAGCCGAGCTATGGGGGAGCGAAGAAAAAGGTAAGAGTATGATCTCACCACAGCCGAACGTTCTTTGATGACTGATAAGCCTTCTGTGGAGTTCTGATTGTCTGGCTGTAAAGGTTGTACATGTCAGTGAGTGATGCCGTTTGGAGATGGTTGCTCCTTCTTACCTCAGATCCTATCGGCCCATGGTTATGATTGGGGTTCTTGATGTGAATGACCCAGCTGCCAACGGGTGGGAGATTTGTGGATGTATCAGAAATGGTTTCTTGAAGGTGAATTGGAATATTAGGTGCAACAATCTTGTATATAGTGAAGGCAAAAGGGCAATCGGTTTTGCGGGAATACGAAGTGATTGAAGGTTTTTGGCCTGATCAATGGCACTCATACCGGATGCTGGTGTTGGACGTTTTGTGATCTGAGGATCGTATTACAACTTTGTATCCATTTGCAGCCGCATGCTCCTTGAGTTTGCTTTTCATTTCGTCTAGTGAGGTTGCGATAAGGTCAAGTGGTGGTGGCTGAAGAGTGGCGAGGTTGCTGGAAGTGTTGATCGTGGAGGTTGTAGAAGTCATGGAGGTTATGTTGTTGTGTGGGGTGTTTGGGTATTGTGGAAGGTATGTAGTAGACGATATGATTGTGTTGGTGTTGGTATGAGTATGGCTTGATTGGTGGTTGGTGGGATCGATCGAAGAAATTTGGGAATAGTTCTCGGAAGGGTGGTGGGGTTAGGGATAACTGGGCTGATTAGGTTAGTTGCGTGTCGCAAGTGGTGTGATGTTAAGTGAATGGGGTGACTAAGATATGGTTAGGGTAGGTTTTAGCAAGTCTGGTGGGGAAAGGGTAAGAGTGGTGGACCGGGTAATATACGTGTGTTAGTGTAGGGTGGTGCAGTCCTAGTAGGCTGGTGGGGTTGGTGTGTAGTGTGTGAGATGAGTTTGGTGGTGAGTAGGTTTTGGCGAGACTGGTGGGGAAAAGGTTATAAGAGTGGTGGACCTTGTAAGATGGGTGTGTTAGTCTGTGTAGGGTGGTGGAGTCTTACTAAGCTGGTGGGACTGGTGTGTAGTGTACAGGATTGATTTGAAGTGTGGTGTGGTTTGGGGCTGATAAGGTGGGAGATTTTGTGAGCTGGTGTGATGTTACAACACGGGTGTGGTGTGTTTTTGACTATGCGCAGCTGGTCATCGTCTCCTTAGGGAGAAAATTGGACTTAGCCAAATTTTCTACCCCCCAAGAAGCTTCTCAGGATGTTGTTTCATCTTAGCAGAGGATGTCGAATGACATTGGGTCATACTGACGTCTGTATGGCCCTATAGTATAGGGTACATATGTACATGTACAGGTGAATACTCGTCATAGAATGTTCCAAAAGGGGAAATTCCCCAAGAATCATCGACTTTACCAATGGAGGCGGTGGGGCTTGAATACCCATTGCTTGAAGTCCAGCATTAACCACCAAAGCTATTTTGTGACCAGCACATCGAACTCGGTCAGTAGACTCATCAAACTCAAATTCTTCATTGTTGTCATTTGCGATTTTCGACAGTTGTGATTGCATCGCTCGAGCACATGTATCGTTATTGCCACCTGAATCGTGAGTCTGTGAGACCATGTGAGATCCATAATATCGTTATGTCAGCCAGGTTTGTTGAGAATATATATATAAAGATTACTTATCTTGGAGTGCAGCTTGTGCTTGACAAGTACGTTGATTAGTGGCTCAGCCAACCATTCCCCCTTATGATGCCAAGCAATCATTTTCATTGACAGATGCCGGGTCACATACTTCCATTTCGAATTGATGTATGTGACAGAAGCTGATATAAATCCGTATCGATTTTGAGGCGAGGTCCAGGCATCATGAATGAGCCCAAACTTCGAAGTGTTTGCCTAGAATAGAAAAAACATAAGGCTCAGATCGAATTGAAAACCAAGGAAGTCAAAGTGATTCAAAGTGATTAGTTTACTTACTTGGAGTTCCTGTATAACTGTCGATCTAAGCCCAAGATACATCTTGTGAGCAAACGATGCTACCCAAGTACGACCATAGAGTTGAGCCATTGGGTTTGCGTATCGAAAAGCAGCACGAAGGGCTGCATCTTCAATTCGTAACCAAGGTTGAGAAGTCCGCACAACCCACATTCCAATCATCTGATTTAAAATTGAATTAGAAAATGCGGTAGACTTTGGAAAATAAGATTCGATCGCAGATTGAGTCATGGCGGCTTGATTTGCTTGTCT